CATGTATAATTGTAGTGGCATTGAATAATAACCGCACAATCCGCAAAGCTGAACACGAGACTACTCAGAAAATAGATATTCAATATTTAACGCGGATAAATACCTAACATGGAGAAGGCGCGAACTATGAATTAAATGGACTGGGGTTGATCGAGTGGCATGGCTCGGCCATGCAGGCGTGGTCCCTGCTGGATGTTATCTTATATCTCCTATTCATATTAAATATATTGTTCTTTCTCTAGCCTAAGCTTGTTTTTCATCATGTATTGGTAGTTGTTACGATACGGTGAGTTGGTGTAGTCGATGATGTGACTTCCACGTAAGATCTTATAGATTAGGCAGTTATATCATGACAAATCTACAATTTTAGGATTAGGTCTATTGTTAGAGCAGTACTAATATCATAGTAGACCATAATTCTACATTGGTGAGCCCAACTAAAGAAACGCAACCTATTATTATTAATCCTAATTTCCACTTCAACTTTCTCGATCGATTTTATATTTATGTTAGCCCTGTATTCTAATAGTCCTCTGATTAATGCTCACATGCATTATCGTAATGTTATATTGATTAGTCCTCATGACAAACTAGCTCAATCGATAATAAAAACTGGTCGTCTATATTAACTAATTAGCTTTGATGATTTGTTAACAAGCTGTAATAGCATTTACATGCTTCAGCGACATAGTCTTGTTTAAACATCAAGCTCTAGCAAATATGACCTGTAAATAGCGTAAATATACATTGACTAACAATGCGATCAAGGACTAAATAGTTATCTGGATCTAATTCTCAGTGTTCCTTCACTTAACACCTCATCCTGTTTTAAACGATGCACTATCCTGTAATATCTTTTCTTCCGACCACTGCCTGCCTAATTTCATATTCTCGAGTTCCATTGCCAAACAACGAGGATGACTACTCCAAAAACATACGGTGAGTTTCAGCTATAAGTTTTCTGCAATCATTTTTAGATGGTTCGTTCAATGACAACCATACAATTATCTGGATTCATTCGATTGTTCTGATCCGAGCGAGTGTCAAAAACCTCAACAGCATCAAGCACCCTGGAATTAATTGCCATACTGCATGTTTTATTCTGGATGCTTTTGGATCAATACTACTCACGAATGGCAGTATATATGTCGTCCACTGAATAATCTAATTTTCAAAAATAATCCAGGCGAGTTCAACTATTTTACTGGATGATTTTTTTTTGTACTTAAGATGTATATGTTTTTCAGTTGCTTTTGCCATATATTTGTAAGTGTCACTAAGCTAAATGCAGTAACTTCTTATGGAAGGTTTATAACGCATCATATTCCTGCCTGAAGTTTCACAAGCAGTCTTAACTTTAAAATTATTTATCTGGTCATGTTCATTATTTTAAAATTGTCATATACGTCAACAACCTGTTTGTTAACCTGGCCCACACATACGTTACACTATATCTTCATGTCTTCTAAATTTAGGAATCATCTGAGTCGCCTTTAGCATTTATCAATAAACCCATCATAGTCGTTGTTGCTAATCGTATTTGGGTTTATGGATTGGTTTATCATATTAGCAGCCTAAAATGCGAACATAGTTTAGATAATAAGATTAAAAATTTAGGTACTATCAACTGCACTAGTAAAATAACTAAATCCTCAGGTAGCTGTTGGCTAAACAAACGTTTAAAATCAAAACTCATTAGCCTACTAGAATTAACACTAAACGAATCTTTCTGAATTAAAATTTATAGTTAAATTAGGCGTCTCGGATTCTTTAACGTTATAAATTTCTGATAATTTCGAATCACCTAAAGCAACAATACCTATTTTTCTACTGACTAATCCTCAATCAACACTATAACTAGCTAAACGTAATAGTTTCAGGATATCGTCATAAAGCATTGTCATGACTTGACAATCACGTAATATGATTAATAAAATTAATGAAACTATTAACAAAATCGGTCAGCAAATTGACTTACAATTATCACTAGTGTTGTTTTTCTTTTATCTTCATTCACTACAGATGATTACAGTATGTTTCTCTATCGGTTGCTTATTCAGTAAATATCTCAAAACCTTGTCAGTCTAATTGGAGGTTTAGCGACACAATCATGCATGCAAACAATCAGTATAAGCAGTCGAGCAAATCTCCTGCAAACTGAAAACATCAATGTCGAATTTACCCCAACACTGACTAAGGTTCAAGCCATTATCATAGACATGAGTTGGGAGTGTACTCCCCTTGGTTACAACTTATGTACTCCCTGATAATCACATGAGCATCACTCACTGTTAATCATCTTGTAAAAGCTTATTTAGCCGAATACATCTTGCAGCACCACATCACTTCGTAATATGACACAGGCCTAACTGATTTTAATAACTTATAACCACTATATCTCAATTAAATCGTATTCCGCCTTATGATAAACTGCATACTTGCAACTAACTTGTATGCCCAATCAGCCAGCAAGTATAAATATAAATAAATAGTCTGCCGCAGATCAGAACATTGAGTCCAGAGCATGTCTCTTACGAATACACTCATGTTTAGCGATTTGTCCACAGTAGCGGAGGCACTACGGACATGTTGTTACGAACGAGAGAGGTAATCGGTCGAAAGAAGATGGTCTGTTAAGACGACTTTTCTTGTCTAAGGTGCAGGCAGTGCTTGACTCGTTTCAAAATAACGCTGCAGACGAGCTGAATGCATCTGCCGACCGGATTCTAGAGATCTCCAAAACTTCTAGCGCCGAGGCTTTTCCAGTAAAAAAAACCTCAATGGACACGGAACGACGTTACAGAGCTCTTCCATGCTCTGATACGTCACCATTGTATTCGTCATGACCGTAAAGGATCACAAACTATTCTAAGGTCTTCCTGACCTATCTCACGAAAGACAAATAACCCCGACTGGTGTCATAATCAGTGTGGAAAATCTTCTCTAAACTGCAAAAAATCCTGCATTTTTCCGACACGTAAAACGTTTCGGAGTACTTTCAAGCCGGTACGCGTTAACGGCGAACGTAGCTGGTGAACATAACCATCTTCTATACGTCACTGATGTTATTAGGAAAGTTTGCTTCCTCGTCGACACTAACGCAGAAGTTAGCGTTTTGCACCGAATTCTAATGAATGGTTGCACGGACCGATTTCAAACTTACAGGTGGCAAACGGAAAACCAACAGCCACATACGGTAAGCGGTAAGTTTATCTTAATGTGAGTTTACGCAAACCCATCCACTGGATCTTCGTTGTTGTAGATGTTTTAACGCCAATCTATGGTCTAGACCAGCTACACCATCATAATTTACAATCGGCACGGGAAAACGGGGATAAGTAGATGGAAATACTCATTTATCTGTTTAACATTTTTGGTTGTAGATTATCCACTTCCACAATAAGG